ATTCCCAGTTTCATAATTTGCAACGTAGAACTAAAAACGTTAGAACTGTGTTAAAAGCTGGCGTTAGCAGTTGTTAGTCTTACAGATCTAAGAACGCAAATATTGTATGATATCATTCACGCAAAACTTCTATTTTTATTGTAAAGAAACCTAGACAATGCAGCTTATTTTATGTTTCCTGAAATTCTATTTTTATTGCAAAGAAACTATAAACCTAGTCTACGCAACTTATTCTATGATTTCTGGATTCAAAAGAGTTTTTTAAAAATAAATTCGAAACTATCTCTGGCCAGTTATGTGAACTGTTAGAATAAAAGAAAAACAGAATAATGTACAGTAAAACCGGTTTTTATGCGGCCTTCTTTGAGCGTTTCTTTTTTACCGACTATTTTTGGACGATTTTTTTCTTTCAGACCCTATCTATAGCATTAAAAAATATTTTTCAATTGAGTTTGGAGAACTACTTTTTATAGCTACTGGTATTTTTTTGTACGATCCCTATCTACCGCACAAAAACTGATTTGACTGTGTCTATAGATTTTCTGTCAAATATTATTTCCATATATTGTACATAGGTATACATCTAGAACAACTAGAATACATATTGAAGATTATTATAATTTAACAATTACTATGATTAAAAAAAGTCAGATAGCAATCAGCTGACTAATCATCAGAAGAAGACAACATCTACAAATTTTAAAGGCTCAACTCCAAAAAGTCCACGTGAAATATATTATTCGTCTGTATGAGTATATAAATCTGAGTGTTTGCTAAAACAGACTGATAGACAAACAGAGCAATAGATAGTCAAAAATATCTTATATACCATATACTATACTTGTGTTGAGTTGTGTATAACATCAGATCATCTTTGCCGCGTTTGAAGCATCTTGGTTAATTAATTATATCAATTTTACTTAATTTGGATGTGTGAAGGATATAGAAATACCAATATCTTATTCTATATATTATATATGTTTATTATTATTATTATAGCTTATAAAACTACTGAAAATATAAATATGTGTTTTTTTATTATAAAGTAATGGATCTTTATCTTAACTGATACTAATTTAAAATCTGTCAAACTAATAATACTTACCCTGTGCATGCAGCAGATTATGTGGATGCTGATGATGTGCTATTTGTGTATGATGCACTGCTGAGGATGTCCCGCCAGTGGCATTAAGGTTATGTGGCAGGAATGCTGCTGCAACCGCGGCATGAGCATTAAAATATGCCATTCGTGAAGCTGCTGCCATGGTCATTTGATGATGTTGATCAGCTGTAAACGGTGGTGAAACTGAAGAATTCGCATACATGGCCGGTGTTATAGCTGCTGCCGCTATAGACATTGAAGAAGCTGAAGTTGCAGATGAACTACGTGGTGATGGTGTTAAATCATGTGCTCCTGATAGCGATGTTTTACTCTGGCTTAAAGCAGTCGGTGATGCACTATTCCCATGTGCTGTTATTTGTGGTGGTGAAGCAGTTCCATTTGAAACAGCACGTGTTGCTGCCACTGCTGCCGCTGCAGCTGCTGCTGAATTACTTAAGCCAAGTAATTCTTGTATGGCAAAAGGGGAACGTTGTGGCATTTTTAAGAATTTGATTTTAAAATTTTAATTTTTTTTTATATAATTTTGAATTATATTTTATATTTAATTTTTATATCTCTTCTTATTGTTTATTGAACTCATTTAGTCTCTTTTGCTTTTATTATTAACTAGCATTATTAAGGGATAAATAGTACAATTTTTCCAATAATGAATGTTAATGTTCAAATTTCAATTTGCTTAAAATTACTTTTCACTTTATAATATATCTTAAAATTTAGTTATAATAAATTCTCTATAATAAAAAATTAATACGTTTAACAGAACAACAAATAACAATTAAAAATTTTAGCAGGCTCAAAACATACCACAGAAGTAAGAATATAATATTACGAATCAAAACGTCGTGATAATAATATATAAGTTTGAAATGAAAAATTATACTCGATAATAGATATTCAAACTTTTAGAAGACAACCATAAAGCCAACTTTTTAAAATAATGATAACGATATATAACAAGTACCTAACCCACAGCTAAAAAATATTTTAATCGGAAAATATTACAACAACAATAATATCAGTTATAATTATTTATAGTTGTGTACTAAGTTATTTACCGAGTTTTATTTTGAGCACAAAAGCATCAAAGATTCTGACCCATCAGACCCATAAAACTAGGTGATATCTCCGCACAAGTTTGGTACATTCTATAACTTAGTGATAATAAGATTATCGCATAAAGTTATTTAAGAAATCTCTCATTATTATAATCTTTTATTATCTGGTGTTATAGAAATAATAGTTGTCAGTGCCGTATTCATATATACATATGACCTATTCATATATAATACATAAATATTCAGCAATATGCAAAATAGGTTCTATGTCTATGATATAAGAATATATACGAATACACTATAATAGTACGGAAATAAGAAGACAGTAAGTGGACTCTATTAAACAACGCGCTTCAAAAAGCTTTTGCCTTAGGAGGAGAGTCAGAATAGGAAATTATAACCCAAAGTTTTTAGTTGCAGAAATTAACAGAAAAAATCACTGTTGCAAAATTGTCTAATAACCATTATTAGATAATGCGACATCCATCGTTTTTGTCAGATTTAACTTTCTCTATTTTTTATTATCATTAAGTATTAATTATTTTCAAAATTAAAATTATTTGCAAGGAAGAGTTTAATTAAAAACAAACACAATTATTGTAACTAAGCAATAGTTTAAATACTTTCAATATCAATAGAGAAGATAATTATTTCGATTTCTACGACTTAGATGTGATTAAAAGATTTTAACTATAAACTATTTAAACTATCTGTAAATGATAAATACTATTTGACATATTCATACCTCTCCTTTTTTATATTTATTTGATAAGAATAAAAAAAATAAACTTTTAATATTAAAGAATTTAGGAACTTTCCATGACCTTTGATTTCCAAGCTTTATTTAGAAAATGAACTTTTAGACTAGACTTCAAATGTTTAAGATGGTAAAAATTCGAGGATTCGAGTAAGAGTAACATTGACATATATAGATGTATTATATATATAACAAAAATAGCTAGTAACTTTAATGTAAAAATTTTAAACGATTTTAATCCCGAAAGATTAATTAAGCAGAGCCCCTAGCTTGTTTTTAAGAAATATATCAATAACGATCAAGATACCAGAACGGTGAAATTCCGAAGACAAAATTATGATATTTGTAGATATTATTTAAGTTTGAGAGTTTTATTATATTAATGAACTTAAACAGGCTTTTTGGCAAAAATAATTAAAATTAAAACAAAGTTATAATATTTAATAAGTAATACTAAATATTATACCCCTATGTTTTAATTTTAAATATTTTGTTTTATAAATTATATTTAAATTTATTAATTATAATTGTAAATAAATGTAAAAATCTACTTATAGGGTATGATGAAGAACATTAACTCAAAATAAGTTAACATTTCATAAAGTGATTATAAGAAACAGGCTAATGAACTGAAAATACATTATAAAAGTAACTTTCGTAATTAGTCCAATATTAATTTAGAGTTGATTATGTAATATTATTAAAAAATTTAAATATATAAGAAACTACGGTGGCTTGTCTATGTTAAAAGCTCAATCCAACATATTTATTGCTCATCACAAATAATGGTATTTTTTTGCATTTTTCTGAATATATATTATTTGTACTTAGTCATTGTTAGTAATAGTAATTAACAATTGTTAATAATAATTATATTAATATTTTTTATATAAACAAATACAGCATAAGTTTAACTGTGTTATAATTTTTTCTGTGTTTGTTCTATAGATATATCCCCGATTATTTTTTTCTAAATAAATTTATAATTTATTTTATAACATTGGGAATTTCGGAACATTAAAGCTAGTATTTGGCTACATGTTTGGATACATTCTAAACTTTGAATCACTGGTGCAAATATTAGTACACATATTATTATAAAATCTATCAAAAGTAATTATATAAAATATGTTGTATTTCTCTAAATATATCAACTATATTCTCAACATTAAATAAGTCAATATTCAATAAAAATATTGAAATAATAAAAGTATTTTGAAATATTATAATTAAATGATTTATTCAAAATATTATTAAATAATTTATGTATTTAAAAATCTCTAATAAATTTTTTGAACTCATTTTTTAAGCTACTAAATTTCAAATAATGTTAAAAAATATTATTGAAAATATTATTTATAAAACTGGGATTTGATATATGCATTGTCTTCCACTCATATTTTTTTTTGACTATATGTTATCTTAGTGTGTAAAACTAATCAAGTCCATTATACTTTTTTTAATTATTTTAAAAATTATACAACTGAATAAATAATTTGTGGTGCACTTAAAATAATTAAAATACGTTTTCTAAATAAATAAAAAATTGTTTGATTTAAAATAATTTCATAATAATAAAATAAATACTTTTTATACTTGAATATTAAAATAATATATACTTATTTAAAGTAATTAAAATAATTTTTCCTAAATAAATAAAGAATTTTTTACTATAAAACAAATAAGTATTAATAAAAATAAAATAGAATTACATAGTCCTTAAATAATATATACTAATAATAAAATTAAGTGTTATTAATTATTTAAATTTAAAATTTTTTAATATTTTCTTTAATAAATTTTTAATAATTTGTTTTCGAAAACTCAAGAACTCTTTAAAAATTTTGAAAATGATTTTTAAATTTTCTTTTTAAAACCAATTATATTCATATATAAAGATTATCTTAAAATAAAATTATTTGATAACCTGATTTATTTATTATAATAACTAAATAGGGA